TTACTGCTCCCTCAGCCAGGACACCGTTGCTGCACCCGTGTCAGATCTGTAGAATTCTACGCGATACCTGACGACAGGCATGCCGGAAGGCCAATGCAACGGTTCCGATGTACCTGCTGTGCTACAGCGAGCCTCTCCCCTTTCGATCCTCTGACACACCAGCAATTTTCTCGCTTCGTCTCCTCTGGCCCGCGGACGGTAGAAGACTTCATCGACGTCCTGCTTCGATTCTTCGTTGCGTGCCGTTGCTCCCCTGGGTGGTAGACGTCGGTTGGGGCAGCGACTGTTGGAGGCAGGGCCGATTCTAGCATGCTTCCCCTGCTAGAGTACGCAAGAACAGCTTGCAATTGGCTTCCCCGTGCCCTTCAGATTGCAGAAGACCCTTCCCTAAACCTCCAGCCGCAGACCTGCAAAAACTTGGATAAAGCGAGTCTGCTTGCCAGAAAACCTCGGTTCTAAAACGCTGTGTAACAGATAGGCTACCTCACACATGATCGCTTGCTACTGGTATCAGACAACTTTAGTTCAGTCGTGTGAGCGTAGTTTCTTCGTCCCATACAGGCGACGCCGCGCCCGTCCAGCCTGCTGGATGGATGGAAAGTCATCTTCGGCTCTTTGTCTGCAACGATCTGAAACCTGACCCCCGACGGACGTCATGAGCACTGCTCAGCTCTGGATTCTGGGCTCCGCGCTCTTCTTCAACGTTGGCAGTAATGCGGATAGACGCATAGAAGAGGCCGGGCACACTGGCATCCGCCTTGTCTTGCGCCAGCTTGCCATGGTCGATAGTTCTGCCAAGTCGCCTCCATTTCCTCGTATTTCCAATCGTTAAAGGTCCCGGTGATGTAGTAGGGGCAACCTCGGACAGCCGCGGTTGCAGGTGCCCCGAAATCTTGCAGCCGTGTCCTTGTCTCGTGTGAGGCTACCACCCATGTCTGGCACCTTACCACTATCGATGCTCATGGTTCTGCCCTCTTGCGCACTTGCCACAGCTATTCGCTTACTAAAGCCAGCCTCCTTGTCCTTCTTCCAGTAGCTGACGACGCCATCAGGATCAAGCTCAACCTGACTGCAAGCCGAATAATCGCTACTTTCTCTTCAAGGGCCTCTTACCCACCTCGAAGATGTCGTTAAACCTCGCGTCCTTGTCAGGACCGCCCATCTCCCAGTCCTGCACTCCAAAAGCGTCTCGTCTCTTCTTGAAGGTACACATTTCATCGAAGCCTCCCAGTCGTCTCCAACAATGGTAACTTCCTGGGGAGGTGCATCTTGCATCTTCCTGATGAAGAGACTGTACAGGTCCTGCAGCTGACGAGAAGCGACTTTCTACTTTCTACATTGCAGAAGTCTACGTGCTTCGTGATGTTCCATGTAACAGCACAACAAAACGCATTCATGACTAATCATCATTAAAGCGGGCAGTACATGCCCCCTGCACTTACAATCTGCAGAAGGCATCCTGAACACTGAGGCAAACTGAATCCTTACCTCCTTGCTGTTTATGTCAAACTAGAATGAGTGGAGGAAGCTGCCACGCAGCAACTGCATTTTTTGAACGGCTCCTGCTGGAAAGGGAGCTATGTCTGCTGCCGACAACATCACAACATTGACTACGTGCATCCAGGTCCGGCCTTGTTTGTGCCAACTCCTCTCGACGTCATTTGATTGACCCCCCAGACCTCGGTGATCTTAATGCTTCAGGTGTCTAGTCTCGTTCAGTCTCGAGGGTCCCCGCGGTCTAGACACGGTGCGACTGTCGAGATTTAGATGCCTCTTTCGACTAAACACCTGCAGATTACCAGCCCTCGCAACGAAGGACGGGTCGGTTGTCCTGTACTCTGTGGATGCGACTGTTCACCGCATGGGTTGGCCCAAAACCAAGTAGTGGTGCCATGCGTTCGTGCGTTTGGACAGTGCACCAACAGTGAACCATGTTAGCTTCTGCGACACGCTGCCGGCAGCAAGCCAGTGCCCACGAAAGCTGAGTTCAAGACTTGAAAGCACAATCAAGGCAGACATGGACATGCACGGTGACCCAGCACAGGAAACTCGACACTATTCAATGTGCTCATGGTTGCATCCTCTCCCTCCTCCTCCTCCTCCTCCTCCTGCTGCTGCTCCTGCTGCACTGCTGGCGCTGCCACTGTTGCCACTGACAGCAAGCAGCGCCGTCTCCGTCGCAGAAGCAACGACTCAACACGTGCTTTTGAGAAATACAATCGCCGAGGTCCACGCCGTAGCACAAGCATTCGTCCCACCGAAGCCGAAAGACAAGACACCGTTGTACGAGGCCTGCCGAGATGCCAACAGGCTCACACTATCAAGTATAGGTTTTCGCCTCTGAGCGGAATGTGGCATTCTCTGTTGTGATGATCCCAGGAAAGCCAGTCATGTCCAAGTGCCTCCACAGAAGCGCCACTGCAACGGGGCAAACGTGGAAATAACTTTGAGGGCAACACGGATTCAAGCAGTTGAGGTGACAGTTGGGCGTTGCTTCGCCGTACCTTGACTTTGGCCAAGCACGAACGCACAAGGTGATAGAGCCTCAACATAACAGAATCTAAGCTATCAAAAGGTTAAAATGTAATCATCTGAAGTGTCCTGATCTGGGCACATCTCCAATTTTCTGGTAAGCTTCATTACCCGCATCCTCGTCTCAATGCTTTCCGGACTGAGCACCCCACAGGCTCAGCAGCACACACTTCAGGAATCCAGAAATTCCAGCACTGCCTCACCGCATGCTTGCTGTGTGGTGCGAAGAGCAGCTCGGAGCAATGCTGTGCGCACTGAAAGGCAACCTTGCCTTCACAGTGGCCGATGTTGCTCTTGGAGGACGTGATTACCACGGGTTCGTGCCTTGCAGCGACAAACGAGATGTTGCTTCTTCTTGTTAAATCGGCATTTCATTGGTCCCTGCCGCCCAGCCTTGGCACAGAAGCCATGACCTGCACCAAATGGACCCCTTTGGTGTTGCGACTCCCAAGACTGCATGGTTGCTGGAATGCTGCCGCGCATGCCTTCCTGTAGGCACCAATCTCGATGGGATCTCCCAAGGAAGTGCCGGTACCGTGGCCTTGTGGAAGCAACTGATGGCTCTGCGACCCATGGCGCAATGTCTCAGTGCTCGACACTCTGTGGTGTCAATCTCCGGTGGTTTCACACCGATTTCCTTCATGACAGCCTGTGTGCGGATTCACGACAGAAGCCACATGAGCCAAGGACCATGAATCCAATAATAGCAGAACATCAAATCGCAACACGCTGGACACTGGATCGACGATGGGGGAGAGGGCCTGTGCACATCTTTCCTGCGCTGGTCCGTTCGGTGCAGTCAAAGAAGCACTGCGCCCATCCTTTACAACAGTCGTGCAATGAAGCCAGTCTCGAGAGACTCGTTCCTTTTCCTCGTGACGCACTAGCTCAGAGCCCACCTGGTTCACCTGGCTTCCCGCCAAGAGGCAGAAGTCGCCCTGCTCCCTGGTTTGCACCATTGCACCGATTCATGCGAACATGAGAACTTCGGCTCAGCTAAATCGAGGCCTTTCGAACGGCTTTAACTTCAGGGCAGTGGATGCCGTAGCCTTTGGTGGATCATCGGTGGTTTCATGTCTTACCTTTCATCCTCTTTCTGAATCTCGCTTCGGCTGAAAGGCCTCGCCCCTAGTGTAGCCGTCCGCCGAGAAGTTGTAGGTGAAACAGCGACCAAGGTGAGAATGCATGCCTGCCGTTGCCAAGTGCGTGGCCACGAAAAAGCGAACGCACCCCACCGATGCCACCTTGCCTGCACCGCACCCGCTGACATACGTTAGTGGGCTCAAGCTTAGGTTGACGCCACAGATGACCACTGCCTGCCAGTGCAGAGCTGGTGCTCATAAGCTCGATGCATCTTGTACAGTTCGGCAATCCCAGCACCGCAGGCGTACTGCGACATGCAACACGCACAAGATGCTGTCAACAGCTGCCAAGCAGACATCTCCATTTTCTGCACTTTCTGATGCTATTCCCTGTCCAGGACCTCGGCTTCACTTCTGGTCACTACTTGCAACCGCAGGAGACCACAGAGTCACACTCATGTAGAACATATGGCCCGGTCTCGGCCGCGAGCCGCTCGTTTCTTCGACTTCTTTCTCGTGGTAGAAACTGTGCCTGCAACAAGCACAGGCACTGCCCTTGCATGCAACGAAGTCACCAACAGCAAGACACGCCTTCCGAAGATGTTTGGGGTGGCTCCTGCTGGGACTCTTGAGCCATAGCGTATGTCCACGTCGAAGAAATTCCCTGACAGTGGCAGAACTGCCAGCGCGAACCCCCGAAGGTGTGCCCCAAGGGACGACAACTACCTCGAATCTCGGAGCCCAATTTTGCAGGTCTGGTTCTCTGCCGTGCTTCTCGTTTCAGGCGTTCAATGACAACGTTGGACTACCACGATTGCGTTTGGAAAACTTCGAAGTCGCAAGAGTCCTTTCCCCCGAAGCCTCAATTCCTGCCGCTGCTGCAGCAGAAAGACCGTTGTAGGCACCTGGTCTCGGGACGTCTGAGTCTTTGCGTTTTCCAACATTTTCCAACTTACGTTTTCTCGCCTTCCATGGCAGCGAGGCCCTCGTTCACAGCCGTCGTGACTGCATCAGTTGCGACCATTCCACCATCGAGCGCCGAAGCGAAAGCGGATGCAGCCACTGAAATTCCAGCTTCCGGCTCCGCCTCTGGGGTTGAACCTCGGAAAGCAGGGATTAGTGCTGTCACGCAGAGCCCCTTCTTTGCTGCACCACCCCGCACGGCCACCAAGTTGGCGGCTTAACGCCGATGTGACATAGGAGGACTTTGAAAAGTAGGCCAGCTGCCTGAGCATCCGGAGCCGGTAAGCCAACAAGATGTAAGGCCACCTCAAACACCCCTGGCACATGGAGTGAACCTGCCCATCTTCAAGCCTACATCCGAATCACATCGAAACACTGAATTTCTGAATGCCACGGAAATCCTCAACCCCGAACCGACACCCCTGAGCTCACAGTTTTGAGACTGGTGTGCCATGCGCGACCACCCTCGCCATATTCAATCCTAAGGCACATTCGAAACTGCAGCCTTGCCGAAGATCCTTCAAACGCCAACGATCGGCGCCTGCCACTTCCTGCTTTGAACCAGAGTTTCGATTGAGCACGTGCATGTGATCCACAAGTGTGCCAGGTGGCCTGGAACTAGCTGATGGGCTCCTGTTTTCGTCTCCGACTTTCCTGGTGCCTACATGCGCATGCGGATCGCATATGCCTGCCTGCACGATTGCTGCTAACAAAATTGGCACACGCATCCGCAAAGACTCCTTGTGCCACAGCTCGATCGTCAAAGATGGCATTCCCGCATGTTGTGGCTCCAGCCGGAAATCGAAGCTCTCAATCCACTCAACTTTGCCCCAAGTGCCCTTGGCAATACACAGACGTATTGACATCAGCAGCCAACCCTACAGACACGAGTGACAGAAAAATGTTTCTTAAGTGTTCACAAATCTGCGTGGTGCTTCAACATCTCCGGCCCCAGGTCGTCCAGGACTTCGGCTAGGTCGCTCGCCTCTATCCGGTATTTCTGCAAGATTTGGAGTTTCCTCTGCAATTCACCGTCGTGTTGCGGGCTCTTCTGGCTTGTCCTGCGAGAAAGTCCAGCAGATGAGGGACATGTCGATACAAGTTGGCAGTTTCAAAGACGAAGCGCACAGATTTCTTGGTCGCAGATAGGACTATCCAAAAACAAACCGGCCAGGTCTTGGCGAGGCTTTCCAGCACAAAACGACATGGTCTTCATCCAACAAGGCCTACCCAGGCTTTCGGATCGTAGTAGACTCTACCAGACCTTCTGGACTGCTTCAGTTCTCTGCGTTTAGCTGATGACCAACGATCTGGGTTGCTGCAGTTTCGTTTGAAGATGATTAAGTCATGTTGGAATTCCATGTTCTGTTTCGGTGGAAAACTTTACTCCGGAGAAACCGCTTTCCATGCGGCCTCTGATCAATGCCGTTCTTTGCAGGCTCAAGCTTTTGGGACAGCCTTCGACTTGGATATCGTACTTAGGCTTTCAGGTGTAGAAGAAGGATTTCTCGCCAGGTGCTATCATCACAATGGACAAGTTGAAGCTCCACTCTTTCTAGGAACGCTCCAACCACCCTTTCATTGTAGAACATGAACAGTCCACTCACATGTTGGCCAAAGGGCAAACAAACAAACAAACGCCCTTGAAACTGCTCTCACGCTGGTTGCTTCTGTGTCCTGTCGTCTGGTGCAGCAGTCATAACACTCGGACTTTAGAAAACTTGGGAGCACCTGGGAACACTGGCCATCGCAGGTGAGACAAATTTCCTACTCCCACATTCCACGCACCCCCGCAGACAAGCAAGGATGCACGCACCCAAGCCCCAAGCCTGCCATGGAAATAAACTTGGACCCAAACCAAGACAGATACACGGCCTCGTCGTCTTGCCGGCACTGCCAAGCCGTAGGACAACCCAGAACACACCGTCAACCCGAGGCACCATTGCCGAGTATATGCCGACCTTGGATGTGAGTCGCTTTTGACGATTCAGTTGGGCTCAGTTGGGCTCGAGTTGTTCTACAGCGCAGGGCAAGTCTTGCAAGCGAGCCCCGTCAATGAGCATCAGGTGATGCACATGTGGAGTTTCCTTCTTGGCAGGAGACCTTCCCTGATCCGAACAACCGACAAACCTGCAGGATGTGACTCGCGGAATACGGTTGCATCGTTGGTTTCCCCCCTTTCTTCCGGCGCAAGATGTTGTCTAATGTCCTACAAAGCACAAGAAGCCCACACCTGCAATAAATTCATGTCTGACCACTACCACCGGAACGGAAATCTCAAAGCGAGGAACTTCGGCTCTGAACCAGAACTTCGCCTCGAACCTTCTACTTGCCATCGCTCACGAAGAACCTCGAACCCCGAACTTCGGACCATGAGCCAAAACCAACAGTAACGGTCACGATGCTATCAAGGCGTTCTAACCGAGTTCTAATCCATCCTCGAGTTCGTAAGCTCAATGGTACGGTTTTGCGCAAGCTAGCTTGACGATTACCGCACCGAAAAGGAAGTCCAAACCTTCCAACCTGGTACCGTGCTGGTGTTGTTGTTGTTGTTGTTGTTGGTGGTGTCGTTGGTGTTGTTGTTGTTGTTGTTGGTAGGTGTTGCGTTTGCCGCCGCGCGGGGTGGTGCAATTCCTCTGCTGGCATGCGCTGAAACTCGAGTTTTGGCACTTTTTTCACCTGACATTTAACTTTGCTTTTGCTTTCGCATCGGTTTTTGCTGTGTTTCTACCAAAAAAGTGACCGCGCCGGCGGGTTCCACTCGGCAAACTTTTGTTCGGCTCTGCATTCCGCATCGTTTTTTTCTGTGTTTTCCTGTCTCTCTCCCATTTCGCATCGGTTTTTGCAGTGCTTTTGCCGACTCTCGACTTTCTGCACATGCCGGCTTCGACTTGCGTTTGTCTTTCAGCTCTGTGCGGGGCTTGGGGGGCGGGGGAGGGGGGGGATGATGACGTCCATGCGAACGCGGCTTGTGTCTTCTGTTTCTCTTGTGCTCTCTATGTGTCGCAGTTCGCATTGGTTTTGTTTACTGTGTTTTTGCCGATTCTCGACTCTGTGTACATGCCAGCTTATACTTGCAATTTGTCTTTCAGCTCTGTGCGGGGGTGGGGGGGGATGGGGGGGGGGGATGATGACGTCCATGCGAATACGGCTTGTGTCTTCTGTTTCTTTGGTTACGTTACTTCTCAAACGCTACCAGTTGCTATGTCTCTTGGTGCTTCCCGTTTCTTGTTGCTTCACTTTGGAAACGTCCACCATGCAAAAACCTCGAGTTTTTCAAGCTTTCCTGACAAAAACTTCCAAATTTAGCCGGAAAATCAACATAAATCAAACACTAAAATCACTGTATTTGCGATACTTCCGCAAAAACCAGACCAAAATCGCAAGACAAAGAACTCCACAAATTTTACCCTCCGATACATCGTCTTGTTCATGAAAACCACGCAAAAAGCGGGGTTTTCTAGTTTTTTGAGCAAAAAACCTCCCAAACATAAACGACACACCCCGCGCGGCGGCAGACGCAACGCCTTCCTTGTTGTTGCTGCTGCTGCTGCTGCTGCTGCTGCTGCTGCTGCTGCTGCCGTTGCTGTTGCTGCTTCTGCTTGTGCTTCTGCTTGCACTTGCGCTTGCGCTTGTTGGTTTGCTGCTGCTGCTGTTGATGCTGCTTTTGCTGTTGCTGTTGCTGCTGCGGTTGCTATTGCGGTTGCTATTGCGGTGGTGGTGGTGGTGGTGGTGGTGGTGGTGGTGGTGGTGGTGGTGGTGGTGGTGGTGGTGGTGGTGGTGGTGGTGGCGGTGGCCGTGGCGGTGGCCGTGGCGGTGGCCGTGGCGGTGGCCGTGGCGGTGGCGGTGCTGGCGGTGCTGGCGGTGCTGGCGGTGCTGGCGGTGCTGGCGGTGCTGGCGGTGCTGGCGGTGCTGGCGGTGCTGGTGGTGCTGGTGGTGCTGGCGGTGCTGGTGGTGCTGGTGGTGCTGGTGGTGCTGGTGGTGCTGGTGGTGCTGGTGGTGCTGGTGGTGCTGGTGGTGCTGGTGGCGGCAGCGGCGGCGGCGGCGGCTGCGGTTGCCGTTGGGGTTGCGGTTGTGGTTGCAGTTGCGGTTGCGGTTGTGTTTGTGGCTGTCTGCGAAGCGAATAATGCAGGGAAGCACGGAATCATTAACTAACACGCCAGACTGCCGAAAGAAGTGCTGGAGGGGCCTCCTGCATCGAAAATTCTGCCATGTTCTGACTGGAGCTCCGATTGTGGAAGCTTTGCTCATGGGCAGCACAGTCCTCCTCCTGCACGGCCTGGACCGGCCTCCAGTCGAAGCTGATGTTGATAGACAGTTTCGATGCCGGCGTGCCGATGCTCGCATCCGGCGACTCAAGCGTGTAGCTGCGAGCTCCTGACATGAAGATATCTGAAGATTGAACCCCTGTGCAGTCTGCCTGATCACGATGATGCTGATGATCGTGGTCTTCAGTTCTGCCGGAAGCTGCGGCTTATCGTAAACCAAAACTGGCCCAGCCACCATCTCGAGCGGCACTCACAAGGTCAGCAGCTCGCAGGCTAAGGAAGCCAAGCTGTTCATGGGAACCAGCCTGAAGTGGCGAAAAACACTGACAAGGTGTCACGCTAAATCTCAGCGACTGCAGGAGAATTCTGCTGACCCCACATTTGTAACTCAGCTTACCTCTCTTGCAACCCCCCTGTAGGCCAACCAGGCAACCCAGTCTCTCGACAGCTTCACCAGAAGCCGCTGGTGAGCGCATGCTCGCACAAGGACGGGCAGACGACCCACATCGTGGAGTGAAGCCGAAGATGCATCCAGTTCGCAGCCAGTGCAGTGGACATCAGATCCAAAGATCATCTCAATGATGTACTTGCCTGCAGACCAAAGATTTTCGGCCTGGCCTGCTTTGCGCGCTTCCCCTACTGTGGGCAGCTACAAGCTTACCGTTGTCCTTGGTTCCGAGACATCCTCGCTGTACAGGGGCTTGCATTAATTCGGCATGCGGCATGGAGGCGTGACGATGACAGGGTCTTGCAAGCACCCGCCTGGCTCCGCGAGTCCATTCATTGAGGTGATCTGAAGCATGAGAATGCCTTCTACACTGGGCCGCTTGATATCCAGGATGTCAAGGCTGCTCGTCCAAGAAAGGCCCTGGCAGTTGGGGAAGACCATCTTCTCTGCCCATTTGTCTGAGATGGCTTGAAAAATCATGCGCTTTAGCATTGCCAAATTCACAGCTATGGCTAATTGGCCGCGGTCGATATCAAACTGGATATCCTTGGCTCATGCTAGGCAAGGCGGGATGACACATGATGCCACTGCATGCCTTGTGCATTTTTTGCAGTAAAGAAGCTGGCGGCGTTGGAAAGAAGACGCGGAAGCCCGAGAGCAAGCTTCGAAGGGATCGGGCTCCGCCAGGGACAGAGAGCAACAGCTCGACGATCAGATTTCCAACGACTCTGAGGTTTACGATTCCCAACGTGGCTCCTGTAAACATCAAGTAAACCGAACTGTCACTGTCCCATTCTAATCGCAAGCTGACGGTGAAGCTTGTAGGGCTCGACCAAGATGCATGCGGTGCCAAGAATCGCAACGGCCGTGTCCCTAAAGTTGAGCGCTGCAAGTCCACACTGCACTTGTTGAGGGGTGAAGGCAGCTTGCTTAAAGCAAGCCGTATTGAGGGTTCCAATTGCATTGTCAGTTCCCTCGTTGTGTTCTCGGCCACATATGGCCAGAGGTGATCCAACATGCGATTAATAGCAACGTTGTCTTCTGCGACCGGCACCGATGTGGCCGCTGCCAGCTGCTGCCGCAACCTCAGGCAGCGACTGCCTGCACTCAATCTGGAAAATCTCTCGCTTCTCTGCTCCTATCCCTGTCAACAGCAATGACATTGCACGCGGGCTGCATGTTGGATCGGGCAACGGGATGTGAAGCATAGTTCTCCGTATAAAGACAAGCTGCAAGTCGCATTCTTTCCGTAACCTCGAGACTTCCAGGGATGTAGTGGACTTGCAGCAGCCCATGGCATCGTGATCTTCTATGTACAGGTGATGGAGGAGCTATGTTGGTAACCTCTGAAACAGATGGTTGGCCAGTGCTCTTGGCTTGGCATTCTTTGCGTATCGAGCAGTCCGAGCAACAGCGTGGATTCGATGGCTCAAGAATTGACGAAGCATTCAAAACCCTGCCTCGCAAGGGTCATAGTGCTTGTGAAGCAAATACCTCACAGGCTCGAGCCAACCCCAGTCTACCAGTCTACCACCTTGCATGGTTCAAGCAGATGGGGCTTTGGCAGCTTGGCCGTATGAGTACACACCTGTTGACAGAAGCGGGCACATCCGCGAGGAACGTGTGTCTATCCCAAGTTCCGAACCAGCGAAGCAGAGCAAGCCGTGTCGATCGTCATGCTCGCACCCTCGGTCAGACCGGGCTGCGTGCAGATTCTGCGAATTGCATCATCGCCCACAGTGGGCCTTCAGGTTCATGCAGTAGTTGAAACGGTTGGCAGTGATTGCATTCGCTCCGCTTGATGCGGCGAATCCCCCAGAAATGTCCTGCACAGGGGCGGCTTAAGAAACTCCGCAGAACTTCAAAATGGAACCCAGAGATCTGTCCGCGCCCTAAACCCAAAACTCTACACCCTGGAATTGCCTGGGCTGCCGAAGCTGTCCGAGCTAGGTTACGCAGTTGTCCAAACCAATTTGGCGTGCTGACGAAATTGTCTGAGATCGCGCACCCCAGAGTTTGTGAAACAAAGGAGACCAGGGAGGCAATTATTCAAAACCCGGCAAACATGCAGGACAGAGTGAGAAACGTGTTCTCGAGGAGGGCGGGAAAGACGCACTTACAATCCACGCGAGCCAAAGAAAGCCAAAGCACTCAAGTGGCTCGTCGTTTTCGAAATATAGCATCTCAAGAAGCAAACTAGGCTCTGGGCAACGCTTGGAACCATTCGCAAGATTTCGCAGTCAGTGTACCATTTGCCAAGACAGAACGTGGTGCCGTCTTACGAAGACAGGGAAGCGAGACCAGATCACCACGAGCTATCCAATCTATCCAAACTAAGGCTTGATGCACGGTCCCAGCTCGTCCTAGCTGTCCTAGCTCATGGATCTCGTGTTTGCAATGGTTTGCATCTAACATGGGACAAGACTATGTCCACAGCACCGAAATGTCTCCTTCGGTATGCTGTTCCATTCATTTTTGTCCAGCCCAACAAAAACGCCAATGTTGGCAGGCTTGGCCTTGCAGGGAAGGCTGCTCGCACTGCTCGAATGCTCGACACATGGCACGGATCTCCCGAATGGCCTGCAGGCTTTTCTTCGTCCATCCAGCGCCCTGAAGGGAGATGTAGGAGACCTGAAGGGAGGAAAAGGAGTCTGATCCTTTCTTCTTTCTTCTTTCTTCGCTCGCACGAGGTTGCCTCTAAGACCTGGCGCTGTGTCGGATCCATGCCTGCACCGGACTCCGGAGTTCCACGTCTCTCCTCCCTCGGCCCTCGCGGCCCTCGCGGCCCTCGCGGCCCTCGCTCGCAGCCCTCGATCCGCCTCTGGCTTCAGCTGGAGAAATATCGAAGAAGCGGCAGTCAAAAAGTTCTATTCCTCAGGGCCAGCGCTTGGCACAGCGACACGTGACCCAAAAAATCATGCACAAGCTTTCAGCATGATCACCACAGTTTCTGCCCATGGAACACGAAGACGACAGAAGCCGAAGGCCGAAACACCCCTTCCTACGAGTGCATGCTGCGACGTGATGGTCTGGCGCAGAGAGTTTCGAGCTTTGCAGTCTTGCTGCGGCAAGGCCACAGAACCTGGGGGCTTGCCTCTGTGATTGCACGGGTCTGGGTTTCTCTGCCTCGTTCCTCACAACGCCTCCGGGTGGCAGACATACCCTCCTGACATCGCCACACTTCCTGGTTACACCAGCCGAAACTGCGCGAGCAGAAAAACCTTGCAGAGATATAAGCTCACAGGCCAGAATGTTTTTGCTGTTTCCGGGACCGCATGCTTTGTCACCCTGCGCAGGGCCATTAGCACGAAACCTGCTAACGCACGGAGTACACTCTCCGTTTCTCCGTTTTCGTTTGCTACCCGTCGGGTTTGCCCCCTCGGCAATTGAGCTGAAAACCTGTCTTGCACATAGCTGACACGAACCACAGCATCAAATTCTGGGAGACCATGCCATCAGAAAAACCACCATGGCAAGTGTAGGACTTGCCAGATGTTTGATCTGCATCAGGGTCATAATACATATCGCAGTCCCATCTTGATGTGGGATGCCTGGCAGGTTGAGGCAGACATTTCTCTTCTCACATGGGAAAGGACGAACTGCGATGGACCTGACAATGGTGTCCCAGCCAGCTTTCGCGTAGGCCACCCAAGTCTTCCATGGCTCATCTACGCCAAAGGCATATCTCATTCCCATGGAAACCACCTCAAACAGGGGACCAGCTGTCATGCAACGCAGGACAGAGCGAGTTGTCCAGAAGACTCCAAGCCGTGGACAGGCACTGATTCTACCTTTGGCTGCGAGGGCCCGCTGATCGACTTGGCGCAGGCAGGCAGCAATGTTTTGCAATGCCGACACTCGCAGAGTTCAGAAGCTGACGCCCGTCAAGAATGTGAGGTCCCCAGTGATGTTATCAATGACCTCGACATTCCAGGGCACACTGCATGTTCCAAACGTTGGCTCATATCTCTGCTAACTCAAAGGATGCGACATACTCGCGAGGAGCATCTAAAAAGAATGCAGAAAGCGACAATGCTTTCCCATCCGAACTGTACGCAAACTTGTACCTCAGCAGCGCGGCCGTGACCGCAAGCAAAAGCCAGCAAAGCTTGACATTGCAACGTTGTGAAGTGCCTGTCCATGCTGAATATACAGAGCATTCCCGGCTGAATGGTAAGCTGCGGCCTTGGTACCCCGAGTCATCCTCTCTCACATTCCGACGAAATCAATCCCCGAGGCAAGCACTCCACAGGATCCTGATCAGTGATGGCCTTTGGGGTCAGTGTCAGCACGCTGGCACCGGGCCTCATCACGAGTTAGTCTCCATGGTGACACGTAAGATGTGCTGCTGCCTTCCTCTGGGCATCAGGCCCAGAATTAATGAGGATCATGACCTTTGCTCGCCACCTTTGGAAAGAGCTGCCGAGCGATGTGTGAGAGAATCATGACAAGAGCTGGAGGGCTCACATCATCGAGAGGAAGCTGGCCGCTTCTTCATTTTCCAGCTCCGGCGCGGAGTAGAGATCCTGCCCGCGCGCGTTGTTGCGCATCATGTTGTCACATGTTGTCACATGTCGGGCTCTACTGGTAGCTCGGGGCGAAAAACCTGCGATGCTGCGATGTCAATGGCTTTCGGAAACATTCTTCCAACTACGAGTACAGAAGTCGGACGCTGCGGCAGGAAGTCGAAAAGATGATGCGATTCTAGCTGCGAAGGTGGAACAAGGAATACTAAGCTTGTCGTCTGCAAAGGCGACTTTCGTGTGCAGTTGTACGACATGCTGCAACTGAGTCATGACAAAACTCCTCATCCTCGCTGAAAGGCAAAGACATCATCGTACCTCTGCATGCTGGCAGTGAACACCGGAAGGGATCACAACCTCCAGATGGCAGAATGGAGCTCTTTCACGCTTTTGCACACCCTTGCGCCGCTGCTTCAACTGCCGCCGTCACTGACGTCAGACCACTTGGGCGATAAGCGACTCCGCAAACTGCACTCAATGTGTCACAAGACGCAACACCCGAAGGGTCTCAACACATCTCAACGGCGGTGCCTCACGGTCCATGCACTACCAGTACGGTGTGAAGACTCTGTCTCTCACGAAAGTTGGCTCCGGGGTATAGGACTGGTGGCCGCACCGTCTGGCAGCAGACCGACTTGCCGGCTGCCTGGCGATCCGCTCTTCTTTGTGTTTTTTCGTCGGAAGGGTTTCCAGTTCAAGTGGCTCCGAACCGGCAAGCCTCTTCCTGGCTTTCCGGAGCTCCTCCTGGAGAAAATCTCTTCGTGCAGCCGCTTTGGTGAGCTCTCGCGATAGGGATGTGCCCTTCTTAGACAACTGGTGCAAGGCAATTTCTGCAGCATTGCCGCGATCTGTCAGCGCTGTTTTCAGCCGCTTTCCCTGAAGCTGCAAGTCTGCGTGCTCGTGCTGGGACCAGTCATGCTCCAGGGCTTTTTGGAAAGACCAGAATCGAAAAGCCTCTGACGCTGCCTGCAAAGCTTCCCCTGGAAGCAAGCCGAGCAAAGCTAGTTCCTTTTCCCTTCGAGGTCTGTTGAAGTCCACTTTTATGACACGTACAGCCTCTCCGGTCTGGCAAACTGGACATTCCAGGTTAGATGGGAACCACAACTTCGCATGTTCTTGGCAAAACATGTGTGAGCAGCTCGTCAACCAGCCAACTTCAATACGACACCCACAAGCTCTTCCGGACTGCATGAAATTACAATGGATTCCGAAGAGATTGTCGTCAGAAGAAGCGCCATCTGCCTTCATACAACCTGCCATGGCCCGTGAGTGTCGGCGCGGCAGAGCCAATCCCTTCAAAGTCGCAACTCGAGCCAGCTGATGAAGCAAGCCCAACCGTATCTTGGCGCGACCACCGGAATTTCTCATGTCTGCCTGAGCAAGCTGTCCTTGCGAGCCTCGTGCCTACTCTTGCAGCTGACTTTCGGAAATGCCTATAGCAAAATGGTGTACAGAGAAGCCGTGCAACCGAAAACTCTGGATTGTCACCCCTGCGAAAGAGCGCTCGGCGAGGCAGGACAGGACTGCACTGCGCACTGCTGCGGCTGTAGATGTCGAAGCCAAGCTCGGTTTCTACGAAGGGTCGCAGCAATGTACCAACCTGCAGAATTCCAACCGAACGTCGAATGAGCGAAAGGAGTGCGGACCAAGGCTGCGACGGTCTCAATAGCATCTTCGAAGATTTTCAAGGGCGACCTTAGGTTTGCTACGTAAACACACAAGCGCGGATGCTTGTGTTTAGAACTCGGCACAAGCTGAGGCAGAGGCTCCCGTAGAAAGTCAGCCGTGTCGCTGCTTTCCAGATCGACGGACAACGTCTTTCCCTTGCCCTCCTCGCTCTGCTCGGCTCTGCTCGGCTTCACGGCTCCGCGGCTCCGCTCAACGGCACTGACACGGCACTACTTGTGCACTGCATCGTCTCCCTCAGCCAGTCCTTGCCCAGGTAGCCTGTCTCGAGTTCAGGAGGCAGTCGGGAAAACGCGCCTCCCTCAACGCACCTGCCAAGTGAAGAAGGACCCCAAAAGAAAGCACAAATCGAGTCAAGCCAAGCCCATTCAACATCTGCCGGTTTTGACTAGGCACATGACTTCTGACCTACTTTTCGGGCTGTGAACCACAGGATACGCCGGGCCTGATCCCGCTCTTGGTTCCCGGGGGGCAGAAGCAAAGACCACGAGACGGGCGTGCCAAAAACAAACGGACCCACGAAAAGAAATTCCTGCAGTAAACAAGAAAACGCTTGCTGTCCACGTGTGGGATCGGAACTGTTGCTTGCCCACTTTCTTGTCTATGAGCCTGTCATTGTGCGGAGTATTGCAACCGGGAGATGTATACCAATGCGCCCGGGCTGAGTTTCAACCACCTTAGAACCTGCTTCCTTTGCCCCACACAAGCAGTGGTCCACTCCCACCGACTACAAATGCCCGGGTGTGACAGGCAAGTTCTCACTGCAATCCTACACATCCACACTTCTGCTGCGTCAAGCCTTTCTTGAGCTGATTCAATACAAGCCCGACTTCACATCAAGAAAGTCCTATGTGAGGAATATTTCAAGAAGCCAATCCCTATGCAAGGGTAAAATGTCCATACTTCATCATACATGCAGACAACGGATGTCGTGGACACAGACACAATCATGCTGCGGCCTGTCTGCTGTGCTGGCCATTTCTATCAAGTCTTCTGGCGCAACGAAGAGCTTGCAAAGTGCGTACCTGTTGATGGCATTCACTGAGCAACTGGGGCTCTGTAGGCCTGTGGGTGGAGCGCACCCTTTCTGAGACAGGCTATCAGTAAGCTCTGCTCCCATGACACCGGTATCTGACCTCGCATTCAGCACAACACGTCGCTGCTGCGAAAAAGGGACATGCACCGCAAAGCAAAGACAAAGAGCCAGAGAGAGCGAGAGAGAGGGAGAGAGAGAGAGAGAGAGCTAGAGAGAGAGAGAGACAGAGAGAGAGAGAGAGAGAGAGAGAGAGCAGAGTCTCATAGCTTCACACGCCGGTCCCAAAGCGATGTCGCAGTCTGCCAGGTCATCTGTCGTCAAGGGCCTGCGAAGGATGCAGTCAACGAGAGATGTTCGAACTCAGACACAGTGAGCCCCGGCCCGCCTGATGTTCGACTCTGGCACTGAAACCTGAGTCGCACATCTAGATTTCTGCAAAGCAGAGCAGAACCGAGCAGCAGAGCTAAAGGCCGTGGCCATGTCTGCAGAAAACGTGGCGACAGTCCATTCGCCCGTTGCATCGCTGAACTCGATGAGCTGGCCCTCTGCACAGACAACGACAAGGGCCCAGAGAGCTCGGAAGACAAACACATCTACAGTCTGCAGATCCTGAAGCATTGGACTGAGTGCGTCAGCAACTTTGAGGATTCTGGAACATGGGAGCCTGCACATGCATACCTGCACTCGTAGACACATGGCGCCGCACTCCCTCGCATCTTTCAGAGATAGAAGCCAATCGACACGTTACATGCGCGAGCTGCGCAAGTGTCTGTTTTGTTGAGCCTTGCATTCTTGCCATTGTCTGTAACTTCCTGGGCAGGTGCTTGATGAACAACTTGTCGGTGTCCTTCACGTTGGCTTGTCTGCTTTCGCTGTGGGGAGAAGTGCCGCTGGCTGATTCCGACAGTCGCATGTCTGTTCGCAGCCAGATGTCTCAACAGCCACTTCAACTTCGAATGTCTGTACCTTGGAATGTCTGACCTCTTGCAGTTTCTGGAGTCTCCTGGGTGTCAGGCATCTAGCTTTGCGGTACATTTCCAGAATACAATCTTGCCATCGTTTCTCGTTGGACCGATGCCAGTTTTCTTCAGCAAGCTGGAGCCTCTTCTGTGCCTAGGCCCACCGATTTATGATCTCCCATGTTCTCCCGTGTGCGTGGGTTCGCTAAAACGAACCTTCTGGGCAGATGTCGAATCCATCTACCTAGAAGTGGCATCCACGTGGACAGGTTGCCGTGGTGGCCTGCTGGCCATTGAAGTCGCGGGCTCCTTTGTCATCTTGTCTCCAGCGCTCTGAAGTAGTCTTCGGCGCCTGCAGCTAGTTTCGTGTCAGTGCAATAGGTGAAGAACGCCGCCAAGAAAGTGCCAGGTGCTGACGAGCCTGAAGCCCGGTGATCTCGACCAACTGACCACGTCTGGCCAAGACAGAGACCATGCAAGGCTGCTAGTCGATGCACCCAAGACATGCCAGTTATGCATGAGCCGGGCGGTAGAGGGCATCTTCACGACGTAGCCTGGACTGATACTCAAACGAATTCAGAGCCAGTGAACTTTCACTGTCAGATATGTCCGCATCCAAGGCACGTGGCCCGGATCACATGTCGGCTCTAACCCCCTCTCCTAGAGAGAGTGCTGTGCAGCCGCGGATACAGTTGGGCTCCTTTCCCTTCGAGGGCTCGATGGCAGCTAAACATGGTAGCCACTGCTGCAACATGTTTTACACAATCATCAGGTCTGCAGGTTTCCCGGTTTGCTGCAGAGTATGTCTGTGTGGCCAAACGCGGGGAAAATCGTGACCACACATACTCGCATGAAAATCGTGATGGCATCAACTCTTAATTCGCCAAAGAGCAGCTTTTAAAGCTAGTCCACGGCTTGTCAGTTGGACTACAGACGACTGACGCAGTATCATGTCGCCTTGGAGGCTGCCTCCATGAACGGGTCATAGCTTTGTACACGCACACGAATGGATTCGTGGGCCAGAGAATTCGACTAGCTTTGCGGAAGAATCAGATGTCCAATTCCTTCATGAGTTCCTGCACGAGAACAAGAAACAACACGACAAAGTCCACGTTGCACTCCTGTGTTGCTTCATGCCATTGAACTTGGCTTGCATACACATCCGATCGTCCTCTAGATTGCGTGCTTTGAAGGGCGACTCGAACTTGACGCTGAGCCGTCCAAAGGCTGAATTTTCCATCTGCACGGCCAAAGACACTCCCAATAATCAAAACACGAAGCAGTGTCATCGTCGCAGAAAGATCGCAAACTCGATTCATCAGGGTGTTACGACACAGACTTTGAGAGGAAGAACCAACGTCTGCCTCCACCCCTACGTCGTACCCTCCTTCGGACACCGCATGCGAGAACGTGGCACCCCGTTTGGAGGGTGGTGGCGCAAACCACTCTCTTCACCGGAAGCAGTCTTTCCGCTCAGCTAACATTGATTCGTCTCGTCATTTGGCATCCTAAGCTAGATGCGACTTTGTGTAATATGTTGGTACTGTTGCCTGCTCCGGACAGCTCAATCATACTGCCTCAGTTTCCGATCCTAAGTTGCTGTTTTCGGTGAGCTTCGCCTGAACTCTGCAGTCCAGCTGTACTTCCGACTAGCAGCCGTCGTTTGACCTACAGGAGTGATTTGTGATGCACCTGGGCCAGTAAGCCCTCCCAACTACTCTGACCTGCATCTTCATTAAAACCATGGCTGCGCCAGGCTTCACGCGTTTGAAACTCATCAACATCGCACTGATCCCACAGGCTTCCGAGACAACTATCCTCAGGCCCTGCCACTCGCGCAGTGAGGATTATCAGCACAGGAGGCATGAAGAGCACGCATGGCTTGCCTCTTGATATCTCCTGGCCCTCTCTTTCTCCAATTGTCCCAGCCTTCAACCAATTGGCGGTTGTTTTTTGGGTTTTCGACGTGCAAAACTTCGAGGGAGCCAGGCCTCGGCAAGTTGTTGAGCGTGCGATCGATGGTCGCGAGGGATGCCCGATAGATCAATTTCTCACCATACCTTCTTTAGCAACACGAGCTCTGGGAAGGCGCATGTATGAGTGTCCCTCCTGACTCTCAAAGCATTTCGCTGATTCCTGGGCAGGAGCTCGAACCTGCCATGGCCATTGGAAGCTTGCGGCGTTTGGCAAACTAGCTCAGAAAGCTAAGAAGCTGACATCTGCCTGTCCCGAATCAGAGCCTGAAGACCAGGGCTTTGTTGCAAAGACCCAAGATCAGGAAGAGAAATCCAGGCTCCTCGTCTTCTTGGAGAGTTGTGGGATAAGCATCTTGCAACTCCTGCACTCAGAGAAGCAATTTTGATGGGACACAATGCTTGTCACCATGCAACGATCCAAATGCTCCTGTATGATGCCCCGCAAGCAGATCAGCGCACCGCGCTCACTGACCCTCGGTGACATGACATCTGAAGTTTCACCCCTGCTGCGACTGCCTTTAGGAACCCAGGGTTGCTGCTGCTGGTTCCTAGGCTTATGAAATCAACGCACGTATCATGCACATCATTTGATGTCCGGATTTGCACGCAGCATCGAGGAGAATCCAAAAATTCGGTTGCCGTCTCGGGAGTGTAGATACTAGTAGGGCAAAGTGAGGCCATCAAGTTCGAATGGGGACTACCATGCAGGTGCGCACACACACACACACACACACACACACGTGTAGATCCCGGTCTGTGCCGGTTGTCACCTCTCCTTTGGCTTCTTCTTCTTCATTGCCATCGATTTTCTTGTCGTCGTATATATATATATATATATCAGTTACTACGATCGCAGACGTTCGATGCCCTCACTGAACAGACTATCGGCGATCGCACCTTTTTCTGCGACCGCAACGTGGGAGTCGGCCACAGTCGGATCATCAAAATTTCACTTGATCTTCACAAGTCCGATCGGACCCCCGATCGCCGAGGGGTGCGCCGTGGCATTCGCCACAGACCGCAACATCATCCGATCGGACACATCAGACAAGCGATATTCCCCGCGAACAAAACTAAAAGTCTTCGATCGGATCATCGGGCTCCGGCGACGGCTCCTCGATCGGATCGTCGTCGAGGGGGGCCGCGCCGAGCAAGTCGATCAACTGCCGCTCGACAGCACGAAAAGCTGCATCAGGAGTAGCTTTGGCTTTCGTCCGAGCGGGAGTAGCGCGAGAAGCCTGGTACGCCGCGATCTGGGCGGGAGTCGGCGGCGCTTTGGTCGGCGGACTCGAGCTCCTCGTAGGCACCATGATCTCGGTGCCGGGAGGGAGCTGCGTACCGGGCGGAAGCTGATCCAGCCGCCGCGGGGGCTGCCCCGGAATGACATAGTGAGCCGGTCCGCTGATGTGAACGTCAGCGGGCACGGCGTCGAGCGATCTGGGGGGCTGCCCTGGAACTATGTACTGAGCAGGCTCGGCGAACAAAGGAGAACGCCCTTTCGGAGCCGCTCGGCCTTGGCGTGGAGGACCAGCCTTGGGATCCACATAGTAGACCGGCTGATCCATGCCTCTGTTGCGATGAGCTTTGGCCGGGGGCGCTTTGGGCACCGGCCGCTGAACAGAGGGCACGCCCATCACTTGATCCCAGTTGAGGGGAGGATCTGCCCCGTGATCGTAGCCGGCCGGCTGGTGACGATCGCGATCACGATGAGCCGGCGGCGTGACCCAGGGGGTCTTTCGGCAGAAATGACACATATCCAGGCGACGATCGCAAGCCGTGCACAAAGGAGTGCGCTGGTTGGGAGCCCACTCTTCGCGGGGGACCCGAACGGCTGCGTAACATTCGTCTTGGCCGTCCCCGTCGCAGAAGCAGCCGGTGAACAGGCCGCAATCCACGCAGGGACGGCAGAGCTGATCTGTGTCGCCGAAAGCGAGCGCTTGAAGGCCAACGTCGTTGCGAGGATCCCGGGAGAGGGTGGGATTTTTCGGTATGGCCCGATCGGCTATCGCCAAAATGGCCACGGAGAAAATAGATCAAGTCTGTTCCAACGATCGCGAAACTGATCTCCTAATTCCTACCCACCAGACCGATAATTAGGAGACCAGTTACTACGATCGCAGACGTTCGATGCCCTCACTGAACAGACTATCGGCGATCGCACCTTTTTCATGCGACCGCAACGTGGGAGTCGGCCACAGTCGGATCATCAAAATTTCACTTGATCTTCACAAGTCCGATCGGACCCCCGATCGCCGAGGGGTGCGCCATGGCATTCGCCACAGACCGCAACATCATCCGATCGGACACATCAGACAAGCGATATTCCCAGGCCCTCAAACTCCTTTCGGAAAGTCCGAGAGGACCGTGATCCAACCACACATCAGACCTGTAGCGACATCACCACGAGAGGGATTATCCGCCGGGTTCGAATCGGTCGGTACCCGATCGATATAAACAGAGCACCTAAGCTCCAGAACAAGCTCCCAGAAAATTCCTACGAGCTCGCAGACGTCCTCTTTTGCAGAGTAGCCTTTGATCAAAGCTGCCTCTACAGGCTCGGAATCGATAAAGAGGAGGACCAGCTTTCCACGGATCTCTTCCCTGAAAGTCTGTATCGCAGCGACCGCGGCCAAAAGTTCGATCATGCAAATTTGGGTTTTCCGGGGGAACCACCTCGACATGATCTGCCGTGACACCCCCGAGGCGAATTGCCTAGGCTGATCGTCCCTAGTGAACATCACTCCTCCAATCATCTCAGAAGAGGGATCCTTGGGGTTCGAGCTCGGCGCCGATCCATCCGTGAAGATCACCACGTCGGACTTCCGCGGCCCCGAACTGGGGATAGGCCTCGGAGGCCCATGCATCACGAGCGTCCGCCACTTGTAGAGGGAGTAGAGGAGAGCAGGCGATAGGCTCGTACTGACCGTCTTCCGGGAGTATTGCCTCTCCGACAGAGATCTCAGGAAGGCTCGGCCGATCTTCCCCCAGAGCTGCGAAGCGCCGAACATCAGCTTTCCTCTGAGCTTCCCGGCTTGGCCGGGAGACATCTCTTCGTGTTCCAGGATCGACGAGATCTCATCGAAGAGCTCCTGCTTCCTGGACTTCTTGATCTTGAGCAAGTACTGATCGAGGTCATAGGTCACGCCCAGGATCGTGGGATCCGAGCAGAGCTGGAGCTTCTGCTGATCGAACCGGGCCCCGAGCCACCAATGGACTTTCTCGGCCAGCGCGAACGCACTATCTGCCGTGGCCTCCGGCTCGAAGCCGTACTTGTCGTCATAGAAGTTGAAGCCGGCCACGATGAACACGCGCCTTAGAATGTCGGTAATCGCAGCCGAGCGGCGGTTGTAGTTATAGACGGCCGAGACCAAGCCGAAGGAGTGGCCGACCATCACGAAGAACGCCACCTTTCCCGTGGCCGGATCCTTCAGAGCGACCACACTCCACTTGCGATGGGCCGGAGAGATCGGCACCTGCCGATAGGCTCGCCGCTCGTCCAGGACCCAACCACGTAGCGGGGACTTCGGCAGCCGCGAGCGCAGCCACTTGATCACCGCCACGTTCGCGTCCGTCGAGGGGAGTTCGAGTTTCTCGGTGACGATCGTCGCCATGTTGATCCCATTTGAGGTAGCACTGTCAACTCCCCTGACTTTGTTCTTTTGAACCACTTCAAAGCGTTGAGTAGGGATCCAACGATCATCGCCGACGAACTCCGAGACTTCGGCCTCGTCGAAGAAGGGACCGATCGCCGACCCTTCTCGAACATCTTCCATGGTCCCTTCCCAGACCTTGGGAGAGTGCTCGGTGATCGGAGATTTCCGAATCGCGCCTAACACCTTCGATCGAAATTCCCAGGCCCTCGAGCGAAGGGCATCAACCGAGAGATGCTCCGCATGAGGTTTGCGATCGGGCTTCCATCGGTGGGAGGAGGCAATATCGCCGACGATCGGCATGCCCGCCATGATCTGATCTACCAGGTCAGTGTCACTGCATTTGGCCTCATTCATGAGCTCCCGCCAAAGGGCGACGTGGAAAAACTGACCCATTTCCAGTGGACGACCGTCTGGGCCGCCGCGAAGAAGACGGCGCAGATGCCGATCTGGTATCTGCTTGAGCAAGGAGTCAGAGGACGGGAGCAAATCTTGAGCTCGCTGTTCCCAATGCTGCAGAAGAGAGGCTCGACGATCGCGCACTTGAGCAGGATCACGAACAATTTGCTCCAGAACATCAAGGAGGTCTGGGTCGATATCCGCGTCCTTTGTGA